TTTCTTCCTGTGATGAATCGGTATAAGACCCTGGAGGCTCTTGTTGGGTTCTGTGCTGCCTGGAGTATAGGGGCTCTATCTATGCTTCCTTTCTTCCTGTGGTGAATCTGTATAAGACCCTGGAGGCTGTTGTTGGGTTCTGCGCTGTCTGGAGTATAGGAGCTCTATCTATGCTTTCTTTCTTCCTGTGGTGAATCTGTATAAGACCGGTGGTCTTAATAAAGCTGTGTGTGTGATAATGATTATCATGTACCACGGGTACTATGTAACTACAAGTGTGGTTTACTCACCCATATCGGACTTGTTCTTGAAGGTATAGCTACAGCCTTGCCGCCTGCAGTGGAAGTGGGTAGTTCGCTGTCCGGAGAAGGCACACGTCTCGTTGCCGCAGCTCTCCGTCGCTCGGAACCGCTGGAAGCCCTCTTGAATGATGGCAGAGTCTTTGCGGTGGTAGTTGGCGTGCATCTGGACGTCTGAGGTGCTGATGTACACCTTCTCACATCCATCCTGTACATACGTTCTTTACATGGCGATTCCATACCCTCACTACACTGGGTTCGGATAGTTCGACAGAAATAACTTGATTATGAGAGAAAAGACGATTACTAGTTAACATAAAGAGAAATTTAGGCAGAATATGTATGCGTTAAAATAGAAAGCCTTTAGAGATGAAGAATATTCTTTAGTTATATTATTTGGTGTTTTTTTTTAATGCTTGAGAGAAGAGATGAGAGAAGAGAGTGAACAAGTTCTATAGATCTAATACGTTCTCTTTATACTGCGGAGGGCGATGGTTTCAGTTAAGGAACATAATTTTGAAATGGAAGTTAAAGTTGAATATGACAAAGGGTAAGTAGTGAAGGGGAACCAACGGGCAAGTAAGTGAGGGGAACCTACGGGAAAGCTAGGGAAGGGGAACCTACGAGACAAAAGTGAGGTTACCTACGGGCAAGTTAGGGAAGGGGAACCTACGGGCAAGTAAGTGAGGAACCTACGGGAAAGTTAGGGAAGGGGAACTTACGGGACAAAAGTGAGGGAACCTACGGGATTGTTAGGGAAGGGAAACCTACGGGCAAGTAAGTGAGGGGAACCTACGAGACAAAAATGAGGGTACCTACGGGCAAGTTAGGGAGGGGGAACCTACGGGCAAGTAAGTGAGGAGAACCTACGGGAAAGTTAGGGAAGGAGAACTTACGGGACAAAAGTGAGGGAACCTACGGGATTGTTAGGGAAGGGAAACCTACGGGCAAGTAAGTGGGGGAACCTACGGGCAAGTTAGGGAAGGGAAACCTACAGAAAATTAAGGAAGATGAACCTACCCTAATACAGTGGTAGTGCGTCTGACGGCGGTTATGGGCGCAGTTGGCGAAGCGATCCGAACAGTCGTCCATTGGGCTATAGCGCAGGAAGCCATGCTGCAGGGAGTCGTCTCGCTTCTTGTGCCACTTGAAATGGCGGATCATCTCTTCCTTCTTTAAGAGCACCTGCCGTCCAGCACATCTCCTCGTATCTCTCTCTCTACATCTGTGCTAGTTACTTACTTTGTTTTTACACTGAAAACAGTGGAAGTGTTCTCGATGGTTGAGCGTCTGACAGAGTTCCTGACCGCACTCCGCACTGTTGGCGAACCTGCGACCACAATTCTATTAACGACACACCAAGGAGGAGATGAAGAGGATGGCGGAGGACCGGGAAGTATGGAGAGACCATGTTACCCACCCTCAGTAGAAGAAGGCATTGAAGGAGGGAGATATGGAGAGACCATGTAGCCCACCCTCAGTAGAGGAAGGTACTAAAGGAGGGAGATATGGAGAGACTATGTAGCCCACCCTCAGTAGAGAAAGGCACTGAAAGAGGGAAAGAAGAAAGATAAAAACGAGAAATAATTAGAAAGTAGAGTGTTTTTAAGAGTACTTTCACGATAAGGCCAACAAGACAAACGGTCTAAACTAGGAAACCTTGTTGAAATGTTCCCTAAAACGGTTGGATAGATTCTAGTATAGGATTTACTAGAACTAGTATTCCTCACCATTTTCTTCTCGTTCACAAGACAAACAAATTTGGACTAGATACAAAGATTATTTAAGTATGTATTATAGTTGAAGAAATATATATATGGTATATATGTATTGAAGAAAACGTTAAAGTTCAATAGATTATAAATTCAATTACCTTCTATCGATAAAATATGTAACCTTCAAATCTACTGAAGATAATATTATGAAAAAGAAACATATTGCCAGTAAATTTAATTTTTACAAATTCATATAATAATAAATAATAATAATATATTAATTCTTATAATTAATTATGCCTAACTGGTTTTATACTTATTGTTTGCGGAAGAGCATTGCTCGATGCAAATATTTATATGTAATTATACTGTCATAAAAGCTTATATCCATAGTTGCTTAAAAACCATTTCTAAGATTCCACCCTTCATTGCAGCATATATAAGCAGAATCGTCCAATACAGTATTAGAGCTCTAAGAAGCGGTCTGGTGGATTGAATTGGTGAAACTGCTGGGAGGGTTCACCACTGATAAGCCAAGTCCTCCCAATATTTTTTCATCGCAGTAAGGACAGTAGAAGTTTGATATATATTAAAAATAAACATTAGTGCTTTAATGCTTCGATTTCTTATATAAAGATGGTACGTTATCGTCTTATATTTAATATTTACTTTTTGAAACACAGAAAGTTTTCGACCTGGAAAATCCAGAGATTAAGGTCAAGTTAATTCAAGTTAATCGGTTCGGATTTCGTGTGGTGAGCATCAAAACCTCGCTCAAAATCTACTGAAATATACATTCAAGGAAATAAGGATGTTTTTATCAAGAATAGGAAGAAGAACATAACAAAGGAATGTTTTATTTCCATCATTAGACTACAGAATCTCAGGAAAAACAAACAATACAAGAAAACAAACATTTGGTAGTCCAAGAGCAATTATTTTGCAACAAAGAACCAAAGTCAGAAATGAAGAAAAAAAAAAGGGAAGTCTGTAATAATAAGTCAGCAATTGTTAGCAAAGGGAGGGTGTACTTATTAAACTAGAATTGATTGGTACAATAATGGATGTGTCATAATAGCTAGTCTAATGATCCAACACTCAGGGTATCCTTATTCAGGCCAATTTTTAAATCCTTTCTTCAAACCCTGTTATTAACAAATCCCCTGGGAACCGCGTTTTGTGTCTTTGTTTGAAGTAATCTTGATGAAGGTTTAGCTATGCAAATGACGACATCGTTGAAGACAAGTATCAATGTATTCCTATCATATGTATATAAGAACAGATAATTAGATCTATGTTTTAATTATTGGAGATACCACTGGTGTCCATTGTGTACAAATATAATTATCGGTAAATTGAAGTTTCATAAGGAACTGACTTCCCGAGAGAAAATGTCTCTTCTTCTTCTTCTTTCTTATCTTCACTCAATCATATTAGGGTATCAAGTTTGTAGAGCTTGTTGATGGTGTCTGCTGGAGATGAGTAGAACTCATCAAAGGAGATTTGACATCTATAATGAATTTGACGTCTATAATCATAAAGAACTTACTTCCCGAGAGAAAATGTCCCTTTTTATTTTTTCCTATCTTCATTAAATCATATTAGGGTATCAAGCTTGTAAAGCTTGTTGATGGTGTCTTCTGGGGATGAGTAGAACTCATCAAAGGAGATTTGACATTTATAATGTTTTTTTTTTTTAAATAGAATGCATCTGATTTTGTCAATAAGACTGGGAGCACTACTTAGTAGCAGGCCGACTTAGCTCTAATATAAAATGGCCGCCTCTGACATGAGGAACAGATGCCATGTGAAGCCGCTCCTAACATGAAGTACAGACACTGCTCATCCTGTATTAAAGAATCAGAAGCCATTACAGGGTAGTATCAGCTTGGCCAACTGAGCCCAGGTCTTTTTAGCAAGCTTGTTACTGCTCCCCTTCCTGTTTTTTTTTTCATCCGGACTTGGGACCGGCAAAGGCGTAGAGAGAATATAAACAATAAAAATATAGATGTCATTAAAGATGACCTCGAGTTTGCTGAATGTTTTGCCCACAGTGGACACAATGTAAACGGAGTCCAATTATTTGGTGAATCATCCACTATCTCAACTTTAAAACTTCTTGTAAATTTGATCAATTTTCTAGATAGTCATCAATACCAAGCTTTTCACGGAAATTTCAAAAGTTTTAAAATAGAATAAAGGCAGTAGAGGATTCAAGTTGCTTTTGTAGTATTGAGGAACAAACCTCAAGACATTTACTGATCGATTGCCCAGCATTTCAAGATTATAGAATGAAGAATGAACTAGTTATTTGTGAACTTAACGATTTGATTTCCGATAAAAAATCATATTTAAAGTTCAATTCATTTTGTAAATACATTCTAAACTTTCTACAAAATCTGGATCTCTAATGTGTTCATGCGTTGAATAATGTAAATAACTTATGTAAATAAACCTTTCTCCTTGTTTGGCACAAGTATCCCTTGCGTGATATTAAGCTTTGGAAATAAAATAATTGGCAATAATACCAAGGTCTTACAACACTGATACAATGTATAAATATTAATAATCACTATTAAGGCACATTTCAAACGCAACGACTTCTGTTTTATCTCTCAATTCGTATTTCTAATCAGTTTTGAACGATTATTATAAAATGTATTGAGACAATTGTTGTGTAATTAAAGTAAGTAAGAAGGACGTAACCAATTTAACTTTACATATTATTTATTAATAATAGCAATTATACAAAACAAATCTTGGTATATATGTCTACATGAGAACAACAAAAATAATTATTATATACAAGTTCCTTTTCAAACACGAGCTCATCTATAGCCATTGTTACTCTGTGTAATATTCCAACAACAATTCCTTTATAAATTGGATAATACAATATAATACACTGCGGCTTGTGATTGTAAAACAACACTTCAAATAACACCGCATGAGTTTATTTTCAATGAAAAATCAAAATTTATTTCAAGGTGAAATAGTGGTAAGGCGTCGGTCTCGTAAACCGAAGATCCAGGGTTCGATCCCCTGCTGAGCCTCTTTTTTTTTTTTTTTCGTTTCCCATCCCTGGACACTTTTATTTTTCCGTTCATCATTACTCTTCATAATTCACCCTTTCATACCTCATCCAAAAAGGTTAGAAATAGTCAATATTTCACCTTGAAATAAATTTTGATTTTTCATTGTGAAAATAAACTCATGCGGTGTTATTTCAAGTGTTGTTTTACAAATTGGATAATCTTGGGGCAGAATTTTATAAAAAGTATAAAATCGTGAAACGAAGAGTTTTGTAAGTTTTTTTTATTCAGCCGATCTTTCGAGTATTTCTGACTTTCTACAGGAATAAAAATGATGACTATTTTTACCTCTGTGAGAAGGCATAAATGCTTGAAAGTCGAGTCCAATATTTCTGGCCAGATTTGACTCTTTTACTCACGCTTTTTTAAAATTTTATTTCGACACACAAAACGCGATATCCCGGCTAGGAATAATTGCGTCGATTTACATTTTTTTTAACAGAAGCAGTTAAACCATCCCGCCATTTGAAAACCATCCCGCCATGTGTTTCTTTTCAAACGAAAAATCAAAATTTATTTAAAGGAGAAATAACGATTATTTCTAACCTTTGGAATGAGGTATGAAAGGGTGAATTGTGAAGAGTAATGATAAACGGAAAAATAAAAGTGTCCAGGGATGGGAATACATAACCATATTATAAAATTAAAAAAAAAATTAAAAAGAGAAACAATAATATATATATTTTAAATAGAGCAATCCATAGATAAATATTTAATTAAAAAGGCATATATTGAATCATAAATATCATAAATGATATTTTGATCCAATATATGCCTTTTTAATTAAACAATAATATATATTAGGAACCTGAACCTTTCTGGTTAGAAAGATAATCATAAATATATCTACAAAAATAGTTGAATCTATGATAATTCTCTCTGCTATTTACAAATTGATATAGATCTACAACATTATTTATTGTCCGTTGTCTAGTGATAAAGAAGAGTGGACATTCCAGCAGTAGGTGTCTCGAGTTCTGGATTTCCTTGCCACAATGACAGATAGAGTCCTCAAACGCTCCAATTGTTGATAAAAATCCCTTAAAATGTTCATGGTTCGTTGTAAACTGGGTATTATAAAAATTGGAACATAAAAATGTTGGAATTCCAAACTATAAAATGACCTTTTTGTTAAGCACCTCATTACCCCAGAGTATCTCTATCCCTTATTAAAGTTGAGGTTATTTTTAATTTTTTTAAATTCAACTTCAGTGTGTGTGTACTTAAATTGTATATACCATATTTTTGATACTTCCATCACTTTGTGTACTCCTGTCCAGAAGTACAACCCCTCCTCTACATGGCGGGCTGAGGGGAACTGAGGAGTGAAGACCTTGTCTGGAGGAGGACTCTCTCAAGATGGGATAACATTCCTTGCTGAAGAAATTTGTACACATACACAACTATATATATTCCCCTACACTTTATCTACCCTTTATTTACTATTTTATTATATATTTTTCCACCTTTTAACAATTGATTAGAAGAATCAATATAATTGTTTATATTATCAATTGTCTACGTGGCGGGAGGGAGAAGCATCACAAGTAAGGGATTGCTCTGTGGTACGGTGTCGTCCGCTTTTGCCGGTCCCAAGCCCGGATGAAAAAGGAGGAGGGGGAGCAGTAACAAGCTCAGTAAAAAACCTGGGCTCAGCTGGCCCGGCTGATAGTACCCTGTAAGGGCTCCTAATCCAGGGATACAGGATGAGCAGCGTTTGTACTCCATGTTAGGAGCGGCTGCACATGACGTCTGTTCCTCATGTCAGAGGCGGCCATTTCATATTGGAACTAAGTCGGCCTGCCACTGAGTAGTGATCCCAGTCTTAATGACAAAAGCAGACACATTCTACTTCACCCAGTGTGGAGATAAGAAAGAAAAAGAAGAAGAAGGTGTTGTGAGCCCCTAACTGCTACGGTAACCGTGAACAGGGAACTCTGAAATGTGGCTGACTAACGGGGCAATGGCATCCTCCCTTTCCATGGAGTCTTGGACACGATAACAGCAACAAAAACTTTGTGTAATATGCTGTAAGTTTGAACTTCAACAAGAACCAATAGTCGTAAAGATAAAGGCTGCCTGGCCAGAATTCATAGTTCTTTAAATTGAATATTTAAAATCAGTAAATCTTTAAAATGATCCATGACGTATATATAGTTGTTTATTTGTTTTGCATATTTTTCATTTATAAATTAATCTCATAATTTAGTCTGTGAAAATAAAAATATTGGACCGGTGACAAAAAAACAAAACTGAAAATAGATGGCTTAATGTTATATAGTTATGATATATAATTAATTGTGATGTTTATGTAATTTTGATCTTCATTGAATAAAATATATAAATGTGTTTTAAACCTTAATAACAAGCACAAAACAACTGGCCGAAGTATCTTTAATTTTAAGAACAAAGAAACAGTAGTATTTTGTGTGTACGTGTTGTGTTACAAGTATCCTGAAAGTATTGAATGAAATTGTTTAGCGTAGAGAAGTTTTAAAAAACAAAAACATTGCAAGCACACAAATGTTTTACTAAGCACGATCAGCAAAGTCAGTGAGGAAACTAGAATGTAATTTACGGCATGGAGACAATGAGAAGAGTCAAATGGGAAGAAAGGAAAGTTGACCAAGAGAACGGGAGTTATTCATGTCGAACCGAGCTGTCGAATGCCAAGTGGGGACTTCAGTAAATTGGCCTAAATCTCGTCTGCCCCGTTCTTCTTTTCTTTTGCTCCAGGGTCTTTCCATGGAAGGTCTTAGGTATTGGCTCATCCCAACTTATTTTTTATGTAGGATATAAGGATGTCCCAAAATTTCATGTTTTTCTTTAAACATTGCTTTTTTTAAATTACTTGGCCAATTACGGCGAAAACATAATAATAGATAATACAATTAACTTATACATAATACAAAGACATTATACATTAGGGCGAATAATATTGGTATTTCAATTTTTTGCAAGTGTCTACGAACTTTTAGGACAATCTTGTAGGCAATTATGTCTAGCAAAAGTTCATGTGTTTTTTTAACGTTGTTTTTCTTATTACTTGGCGAAAAATATTATAACGGCGAATATATAACAATACACAATACGATTACTATACATAATACAAAGACATTATAAATAAGGGCGAATAATATTGGCATTTCAATTTTTTTGCGAGTGTTTACGAACTTTTAGGACAATCTTGTAGGCAATTATGACAAGCAAAAGTTCGTGTGTTTTTTAAACTTTGCCTTTCTTATTACTTGACGAATAATATTATATTACGGCGAATATATAATAATACATAATACAATTACTTTATACATAATACAAAGACACTATACATAACAACTATTAATATTGATATTTGAATTTTTGTGCAAGTGTTTATGGACTTTTGGGACAACCTTGTATATAAAGAAATTATTATATATGCGAGTAAATATATGATCATATCTACAAGGAATGTTTCTCTTTAAGCCGGACCTCAATTATTTGTAGCTCTGTATCTAACTATATCTCTGGCCAAGATATAAACTATAAAAATATTTATTGTTTCTCGTAAAAATCTTGTAGCAAAGCAATCGACCTGACATATTGAGATCTTAACTATCAACCCCGCTATAGAAATAAATCTTACTATGGCGACCTATGGTTTTCCTGACTATGGATTAAAGAGGATCATAACTTTCCAGTCATTCGCATGCAGACCATGGGACAATTTGGTTCATAGAATATTTCAGCCGAGACGTTGCTCATTCTTCCTGTAGACTCAAACAGATATTTCACATTGCTTAACCTCTAAACACACGATTTTTATATCTTCTTGGTTCTTCGTATTGCAAAAGTAATGTTCTTTTTTAAATAAAATTTGAAAGTTTTTCAATCAGCCATTTTGGCAGGCTTAAAATAGTATCTATAAATTATTATATAATAAATGAAGCTTCTAGGGTTAAGTTTCTTGTGCAACTTTTTATTTTCAAGCTTTCGGACTTGTCAGTCCTTCAACAGGATTATCACGTTAACAGTATCTATAAATGTTTGTGCCAATTTGTATATATATATATATATATATATATATATATATATATATATATTAATATTTGTTATTCTTTTTTCGATTGTTTGAGTCTTTTTGCTTCAAACAAAATGTCCTTAATAATCCTTTCCCTTATTTTTTAAATGGTAATGGGAAAATCTTTTACCGCTAGAATGGTTATCAATTTAAAAACAATCATCAATACCTATATTTTAATAATTATGATCCGAATTGCAGTAAATGGATCCTCTTCTGGATGCAAGCTAAGTTTTCCAATCTGTATTGATCTTTGTTATTATTTTTTTTACAACTTCAAATCCCTTTGCTTCAAACAAAATGTTCTTAATAATCTTTTCCCTTATTTTATATTTGTATTGGAACTTTTTAACTTCTGGAATGTTGACGAATAATACCTGAAGAGTTTGGAAACCAAAATGGATACATTTTAAAAACAATTACCACAGTAACTACATTTTGATAATTATGATAAATTACATTAGGGATTCTTTTCTGATGCAAGCTAAGTTTTTCAATGAATGCATATATACATTCTAAAACGGAATTTTTCTTTAAAAATTAATTTTTGTTGTTGTCGTGTCCAATGAAGAGCCTCAGATGTCTCCATACATCTCTATCACAGCAGTAGCAACGTTCTCTATCTTGGGTGTGTAAAGCTGCTGCTCTAGGTCCATGTCAATTTTCTGTTTTTGTTGTCGTATCCAATAAGGAGCCTCAGATGTCTCCACACATCTCTATCACAGCAGTCGCAATGTTCACTATCTTGGGTGTGTAAAGCTGCTGCTCTAGGTCCATCTCAATTTTCTGTTTTTGTTGTAGTGTCCAATGAAGAGCCTCAGATATCTCCATACATCTCTATCACAGCAATGTTCTCTATCTTGGGTGTGTAAAGCTGCTGTTCTGGGTACATGTCAATTTT